AGGTGGCGAGACCGGCCCGTATTGGATGAAGGGTTGGCTGCCGGGATGCGACGACCGGGCATAGTTGCCGAACGTCTGAGGTCGACGGTGGCAGTAGCGAGCAACGTGTCCGGGAGTGAAGCAAGCGTAGCAAATCGGTCGGTTATCGGGCGTCCTCCAGGGATTGGCGACTGGTGCTGCCGCCCAAGGTGCAGTATAAGCAGCCGGGTGTGCGGGCTGTGAGCGCGTGGTGTAGGGTGCTTGCGGGAGCTTACGTACAGCGTCTGCATATGTGAGCGGCGCGGCTACGGGCTGCATCTCTTGCGAAAACGCGACAGGAGGAGCCACAGGCTGCGTTGCATAGGTTAGGGGCGCGGCCACAGGCTGAACGGTTGGCGGATAGGTGACAGGAGCGCCTACCGGCTGTGCGACACCCGGGCAGTGACCACGGCTAGATAGAGGTGGCTCGTAGTGCGCAAGAGGAACAGCTTGTGCAACCTCTTCCGATATAGCAGTGCGAAGCGGGCAGGTAGACGGGTGGTGGTCTCATGAGTAAAGGGCACTAGGGAAAGTTGGCGGGCGACTTCCTCACAGACGAAGGCTCGGACTTGCTGAAGCAATGGTGAATTCTCGGGCATGGAGTCGAAACTGGACAGCGACTCACCACCGGGCTGAGGCTGCCTAGTCAGAGTGCGTTGCTTTTTCAACTCGTAGCTCTGACACAAGCTGACGACTTCAGAAACTGTGCTTGGATTCCTTGCCAAGAGCATTTGAAATGCGCCGTTGTCGATGCCCTTCAGGATGTTTTTGACCTTGTCAGATTCGGGCATGGTGTCATTCACACGTCGACAAAGGTCGACGACGTCCTCAATATAGCTGGTAAAGGTCTCGCCAGTCTGCTGAGAGCGGACGCGCAAGCGCTGTTCTGCCCTCTGCTTGCGGACAGCCGGCCGACCGAACACTTCAGCACACGACGTCTTGAAGACGCTCCATGTGGTGATGTTGTGTTTGTGGTTATTAAACCACAATTCGGCGACGCCAGTGAGATAGAATATCACGTGGCCCAGCTTGTCGGCTTCATCCCACTTATTGTTGGCGCTCACCAGTTCGTAGTGCTCGAGCCAGTTTTCGACGTCGGTCCCATCCGCACCGCTGAAGACCTTCGGCTCCCGTAGCGTAGGATGGCCAGGGCAGTTGAACTGGAGCGAAGGCGTCGATGTAGTGGCGTTGGCAGTCATGACATGTGGTAGCGTGCGGCTTCGAAGCTCCAGGGTGTAGCAACGGGGATTAACAGCACCTCCACCAAATGTGAGGAGGTTTATTAGCCGTTAAAGACAGCGACGAGACAGCGTGAAGAAGCGTCCAGCGATCGGCACAGCAACGGACCGAAGCACGAGCCGAGAGAGCCGGGCGTTGGCAATGCTGCTCGCTGCAGGCACATCTTCTTCTTCACAATATATATATATATATACACACACACACACACACACACACACACACACACACACACACACACACACACACACACACACACACACACACACACACACACACACACACACACACACACACACACACATACTAAAGCAAAACAAATATAAAATAAAAAAAACAAAATGGAAACGATATGTGGGTGTAGCGAGGATATTAACGAAAGGTGTATCATGGCTGTGTAGAGGCCTAAGCCTTGTGTGATATAGAAGTATAGAAATGTAAAAGGGAAGTAAAGAGTTTAAAATTACGGTAATGATACATGGTGTGGTCTATGAATGTGGAATAATAATAATAATAATAATATTTTATTGGGACATTTTGAATGAGCAGCAATGCAATACAAAATTGGCCTGGCAAGGAATCTTTGGCTTAAAGAGCAAAGCCGACAGACAGCAGACCACAAGAACTGATTTATCTCAGACCAAATAGATGCAGTCATTCTTTTTTTTTAATTTAAACATTCGACAGAAATCTGTCTGGTTGGGTATGAAACTGGGTGACTATTTAGACTCCAACCAAAAGTTTGAAGAAACCCGACGTTTCAAAACCAAGCTTGTTCCTTCCTCAGGGGCAACTGCAGGGCTACGTAGCAGTGGCGTCTTCAAAGCACTCGCGGGGCGGATAATGACCCCCCCTCTTTCTCGTTTTGCCGTGGAGCGCAGTTTATGTGTGTACTCTGGGGGAAGGGTTCCAAGAGAGTGGTTGATGTTATGGGCTGTCCTCTGTATGTGCCACAACTCGAGTAATAACCTTCTCCAGTTCGGCTTGTTTTCCACACATCCTTGGCGTGTTGCTTGAGTCATTTCGGTAGGTTTTTCGTCTCGACGATATACGAAGAGGGGCACTCGGTGCATGGAATTTTGTAAACAACACGGGGGGGTCTTGTCCATTGTTGGCCGGTCTTTCAGGCGTGGGAAGAGGTGGCCCAGAGTACACGAAGGCACGTGCGCGATGCGAACCCCTTCCTTCTTGAAGATCCGCGCCAACATCTCGCTGGTTCCCTGAACATATAGAACCGGTATGAGTTTCATACGTTCACACGTAGCAAGATTTGCCTGCACTAAAGCCGCTAGCAAATAGTGTTTCAAAGGCCTCTACCGGGGAGACCCTTGATGCAATCACGAAGTGCTGCCTCAACCTGCGGGTATTTTTATTTATTTATTTTTTTGACAATACATGATTGTCGTGGTGCAGGAGACAAAAGGCGACATGAGTCGCCTGACTAGGCCTTTAGCACTACATCGTACATTCTTCACACAGAGCGACTGCGCTGGCAAAAAAGGAAACATAAGAACACAATCACCTTGGGAATAACCAGGAGAGAGCTTATACAAAATAAAGATTACAACAAGGCTTGGAAAAATTAGATTACATACACGTATCATTGCAAAGCAAATAAACAGAATAGATCAAAAGAAAAATAGTTGTGAGGACACCAGTGTTTTATATGGGAGCATATGTACATGAATAATCAAAAAAGTGGGTACATATATAACACTTCATCCATACAAATACAAGAAAATGGCATGAGTATGTGCACACATACTATATGTGATTTAAGAAGCACATATTCGGCTTTTCTGAAAGAGAACATGGAAGAAGCACGAATTATAAGAATTAGTATTTGGGGATGACTTGGTTTTAAAAAAGTGGGATGTGTAAAGTTGTAGTTTCAAGTGTTGTTAGTGTAGGTATTGAGAAATTGCTCAGAGTCATTTCTCTACACTAAAAATATGAGCTCGCCCTGCCGCGGTGGTCTAGTGGCTAAGGTACTCGGCTGCTGACCCGCAGGTCGCGGGTTCGATTCCCGGCTGCGGCGGCTGCATTTCCGATGGAGGCGGAAATGTTGTAGGCCCGTGTGCTCAGATTTGGGCGCACGTTAAAGAACTCCAGGTGGTCTAAATTTCTGGAGCCCTCCACTACGGCGTCTCTCATAATCATATGGTGGTTTTGGGACGTTAAACCCCACAAATCAATAAAAAAAAATATGAGCTCGGAGAGATGCTTGTCTAAAAAAAAAATTTCAGTTGTATTTTTTTTACATCAAATGAAAAGCCAAGCCTTTGAGAGCCTACAAAGACGTACTGCTCTGTGATAGTGTACCTGGAAGAAGTAAATAAAGGATGTTCTTAAGAACTAGTTTTGGATTTTTTTACCCTCACGTCATAACGTGGTATGAGCTTCTCATCACATGCTCACGCTAGGTATTCGTATCTTTCCATGGCCGTTCTGTATCATGGCTTCATTGATGTGGAATAAACAAGCATTATGAATGTCTAGGGGATGTCTGCCTCAACGGAACAGAGGCTGTAGTGCTCGGCTGCTGACCCAAAGGTCATGGGTTCGATCCCGGCCGTGGCGATCACATTTCGATGGTGGCGAAATGCTTGAAGCCTGTGTACTGTGCGATGTCGGTGCACATTAACTCTTTCAGCCCTGGAATTTTAATTTTTGTCAGAGACATCTTTAGTACGTATTTTACTGATAGTGATTCAGAAGACCACAAACAAAAAAAATTAGTCACTCGTGTAAGTATTCATGTATTTACAGACATGACATCAAATTAAGTCGTCATGATCCAGTAAACATGAAATGGCAAAAATGGCAAATTTATTCCTGCTAGGCTGTATAGTACACAACTGCTGAACCAACGCTGTATTTGAAAGTGTGGAAGCTCTTTAAACAGCTTCATGACTTCATTCTGAAAACGCCGCCTTCCCGCCTCTGTTTGCCGTCTCGTCGTCACCTATGACTTCGGTCAAGCTGCATCTTCTTTACAGCTCCAAGGTTCACAAAGATGAAACAACAGTGGTGGCGATCACAGTGGGAATACTTGGAAGAAATACTTTTCTAAGAATGAGTAGGTTTCGTTTTGTCTTCAAGGCTCTAGGAGTAATTTCTTATGGTGTCGTCAATTGACAATGCCATACCGAAAGGGAAAACCAGATAGCCAAACTGCCAGGTAACCAAACGGCATCTCTCCTAATCGTCATGTTGGTTTTGGGATGAAAACCCTACGTATTATTATTGTTATTATTGATTGTTATGGGGATGCACAAGCAGCCATTTTAAAAGTTTTCGTGCCTTACATTACGACTAGCCAGACTGCTGCGTGAGCTCACCAGAAGCAGTACTCTAGCCTCACATCAAGCTAGTGGTGATGTTAGTGGGATCACCATGGAAAAATTGATTTTGATATCAAGATGAAGTACTTTATTAGCACATACTAAGCTTCACACTTTCTCAGAGTCGTCTCTACATATACAAGGTTTCTCCGGTAGTGTGATCCCGCCTTCGAAAAATGGTATCAGTACCTACCCCTTCACGATAGACTTCTGTACATGTTCTGTGTCTTTGCAAGAGGCTGCTTCTGTTTTTTTCTTCTTTTGGTCTTTCTGTTGATTTAAAATATAACATTGCATTCTACAAAAAATAGGTATTTGATGGAAAAGCCAAACATAGTTTTTCCAGAAATAATATATTGTGGCTAAGTAAGTATGATTCTGAACATTTTTTTTTTGTGACAGTGAAAAAAACAGCCGAGGAGCCTCAGAATGAAGTGGTCAAGAAGCCACGTCTTGAGGTGAGTGCAATTTTCACTTTTTATTTTCACTCAAGTGACACTGCCGTAGGGTTTTCTGCTTGCACATTTGTAGCATTGGAACATACGGTCGATACACATACACGGAACAGATGTTGACCATTAAGGTAATAAATGCGTCACCACTTCACGTTCACCACTTAAGGGGGGGCGCGGCAAGTAAAGTGCCGATTTTGGTCAAAATATGCGATTTTCTGATTTATTTTTTTTCGTAATCTTCAGACCTTCAACTTCCTTGTTCTAAAATATTACAGCAAAACGTGCGCTACAAATCCCGCAAATAGTGTTTTTGCCGAGGCTAGTCGCCGAAAAGTGCGAAAAAAAAGCCCCTGAAACGGTGTTGTTCACGCCGCACAAACGCGCCAAGTTGTTGACCGTGGGCCGCCATTTTGGTAGCTTTGGAAAGAGGAGAAAGCCGGCTTCCCGATGGTCGCGGTCTCGTATTTCGCCGAGTGAAAATAAAAGCGCGAGGAGCAAGTAAAAAAACGAAAACGAAGAACGGCAATTGGCTGCGCGGGTCACGTGGTAGCAGGCGCGACCTCTTACTGGTCAAAGCTGCGCCGCGCACCTTGGCAACCTTGGAAGCGCGAGCGCATCTGCGGCCGCCGAGTCGAGAATCATCCGGCGTGCGCTTCGTTTTTTGCCAGTTGGCTGTTTTTGTGATAGTTCGCGTGCTTTTTTTACCAAGCTTTGTTTACATCGGTGGTCTCTTCTGAGTGCTTGCTCATACTGCGGTGCTATGTTGTCGCAAAAAAAGTTCCGGAGCGTCCACAAGTACGGCAAGCGTCGGAAAGCTTGGAACAAAGGGCAGACGACTGCGGCTGCCGTCCCAGTCGCAGTTCCGGACGGAGCATGCTCTTCAAGCGTCACGGAGCCTCTACTCAGACCCTTCGCTGATTGTTGTGAGGCCGAGAGTGTGGAAGGTGCCACATCGTCGTATGTCAGACCGCCGGATGCCGTCGACCGTGATGGACGCTCTCGCGAACCCGATTGCGGTGGCACCGCGTCGGCAGCCGTTGCAACTCCGGGCGTGCGCGCGTCGAACATTCTATCGCGAGTTTCGGCCCAGATTCCGAGCAGTGAAGAAATCGCGCAGCGGGCGCAGACAAGTCGGGATGTTTTGGATGCCGTAGCATCGAAATCCGCTTCAAAGCGGAAGCTCGAGCATCTGAACGAAGGCTGCGACGAAAATGACGGCGGTAAGGACTCCACATTCTTCATTGTAAATAAGAAGATGCTGAACGGTCTGCTTTCGTCAGTAAAGTGCAACAAGTGCGACGAAGGGTCGATACGCCTCGAGACTACGCACTGCCTTGGACTCGCGGAGAGGATGGAACTTTTTTGTGACAATTGTGGCATAGTGAACAGTGCGTGGTCGTCCCCGAGGTGCTCCGGGCAACAAAAAACGAACCCCTTTGAGGTAAACGTGCGTGCTTTGAGGGCTGTGCAGTCAGTTGGCAGAAAGCAATCTTCCATAAATGACATTTTTTCTGCGATGGACATTTCGCATCGAGCACTGCACCACAAGTCCTACCAGAGACTGCAAAGGAAGTACAGCCACCCTGCCACCACATCAGCTGCCACCCGCATTGAAGCAGAAAGTGCACAGAAGGTGCATGACATTTACAAGGACCTAGGAGGAGTGCCAGGCAACATTGACGTCATTTACGACGGCACGTGGATGACGAGGGGGCACAGAAGTCATATTGGCGTGGGCTGTGTAATCGAGCTGTACACAGGCTTGGTCTTGGACCACTGTGTCCTGTCCAACTACTGCCAAGGCTGTGCTGTTGGTCCCAAGCCTGGTGACGACAACTATGAGGAGTGGCTTGAGAAACACAAGCCACAGTGCCAAAAGAACACCGATGCTAATGCAGGCCAAATGGAAGTAGAAGCAGCGAGGATCATGTTTGAAAGATCGTTTACCAAGTACAAGCTTCGATACATCAATGTGCTCTGCGACGGTGACAGCCGTACGTACCTTGCCCTCACGCAAGACAAGGTGTATGGCTACATGTTGATTAAGAAACAGGAGTGTGTGAACCATGTGAAAAAAAGAATGGGCACTTCCTTGCGCAACCTTCTTGATGAGCACAAATCCAAAGGCCGAGGACTGAGCATGGGTGGCAAAGGCCGGCTGACGCAGGGCCTTATAAAGAAGTTGACGAATTATTATGGCTGGGCCATTAAGAGCCACCCCAACGATGTTCCTGGCATGGAGAGGGCCATCATGGCCACTTATTACCATGTAACATCCACAGACCAGGATCCACACCACGACCTGTGCCCAAGTGGGACTGACTCCTGGTGCCCGCACAATCAGGCATTGGCCAAGGGAGAGCCGCTGCCGCCTCACAAACATAAACTGCCCCCTCACGTGCGAGTGGCACTGCTGCCAATCTACAAGCGCCTCTCGAACAAAGAGCTCCTTGAAAGGTGTGCGCAGGGAAAAACCCAGAACGCTGTGGAGAGTATGAACAGCCTCATTTGGTCACTCCAGTCCAAGAGCCAGTTCGCCTCCCTTCGAAGTGTGGAAAGTGCAGTTGCAGATGCAGTCTGCCGTTTCAATGGTGGCTGCAAGAGTGCGCTGCAAGAGATCACTGCTCAACTGGGCTTCAATCCAGGAGACTGCTCTTTGCGGCGAGCAGCCGAAAAGGATGCCAAAAGGGTGAAGAGGGCTCAAAAGACGCATTGTTCCACGACAAAGAAGCGCAAAACTGGGTTGCGCTCTACAGAGGCCAAGGCCACAGCATCTCAGGATTACTGCCCAGGAGGATTCTGAGTGTTTTAGGCATGTTGTGAACTTCCAAACAAGAGTGAACTTTCAAAGTCAGTTTTCTCAACTCTTGATTTTCGCCTATGTGCCTTCGCTAGAACATCTGTCATTTTTTAACAAAGACTGATAGAGTCGTTCCGTTTTTTGCACTAGGCTCAGGAGGCCTTTAGCAGTGCAATAAAGCTTTATCTCTCTTCTTACTCATCATTTAAAATTTTTAGAACACATTTTATAATTACTGCGATGTGTGCGCAAAACAACATCCATGTTTTGGAAATTTTATTTATGGTTACAAGAACTAGAAAAATCAACTAATAGCTTCTTTGCACAAGTTGATGCTTTGGGAACATAATAATATGAAAAAATAATTTCATTTAGCAATAATTATCTCTTTAAGTGCGAAGAGCATTAATTAGTATAATTATGCTTGTAACTCAAAAAGTACAAGAGGTATTTGAAAACGGTTTTCATATTTGGAATCCTCACAATCATCCACATACACACACCAAATTTCATCACAAACAGTACATTAATAAAAAAATTAGTTTTACTTGCCACGTCCCCCCTTAACTGTATAGGTTAGTTTGTAAACTATGCTATGAACTTGCTTTCCTAGCCTACTGTGCCCATTCAAGCACCGAATGAATTAAAGTGGTATGCTATTGCTTAGCTTAGTCTTCCTAGTGTTGTCTTAATTATTAACACTATTTGCTGTACTGCTTCTTTTGTCTTCACAGACTTCAAATTTTTAATGCCTCAACATTCAGCAAGGTGTGTTGTGCAGGGATCCAATAGCTGTGTCCTTTGCGCCAATTCGATACAATTCTTCATTGTTGCGCTGAGTTTTGCCAAAACCATTGAATCTGTTGAAATTGCGTCACCCTGTGCCATAATGCTCGAGCAGCCTCGAAATTTTCTCAGTTGCATTAATTTGAGTGAGAAATGAAGACTACATTGGCCACCTGCACTTCGAGTAATCAAACCAAGCGCACAGACGCTGACCCTAAATCCCGGTGCAAGTTATATGCTTGTTAAGTGGGGACACTTGCCAGACGTATCGACCAGGTAAAGCATAAGAGAAAGTAACAACGCTGCATGCCCATCCAGCCGCTGATTACAGCGGGTACGTATCAGCCAGACGACGAAACTTCAAGAAAAAAAAAGTTGTTGTGGTCATCGACGTTTTGCCTCGAATGTTAATTTTCTAGTCAGCAAAGGCGGTTATGTCATGTTAAAATCGTGTGCCGCGTTCATGCGAACAAGGTCGATGTGCTGCTAAAGCCGACGTTGCCAGCCACCACGTTAGTTGCCATACCAAACGACACATGAATTCTTTTTTTGACGGAAGTTGCATCGACCAGGCGATGAATGGCGCCGTAGCAGGGCTAACAGGTGCGCACTGTTGATACTTTATCTGATCTAACGAGCGTTACAAGCAAGTCGAAAAGTTGTGCTTTAAACCTAACCTCACCTTGAAAGAAAAAAAAAAAAAAGAGGGGAGTCGGGTGTCGTGTTTCGAAAATCGCTTAGCATTGCTCTAACCCAGGCAGATTGCTGCCTAGTCCACTTTCGCAGCAGTACACCGATGTCCCGCGGAAAAGTGTATTATGATTTGGAATGGGCTGTCAGCACTGGTCACAGGACACAGCATATTTTCTTCAAATACTCATGCGTGTGTGTGCTTCATAATTTTGAGTACTATAGTCGGTGACAAGCTAAAAATAAAAAGTAAAGTGTACCACTGTCCATTTGTATTATGCGCGTCCAACTGCAGCTGCTCATTACTATGACGTAAGATACACGATGAACCAATGACAAATTCAGCATGGCGCCGTTCGCGACGAGAGGCGATGTGTCGTTGCACCGAGACCGTTGGGTGCCCATTCGGATTTCTGTGGTGCCTTCTTCGTCAAGAAGAAGCTATTTCATCCACTCGCCCTCAGCATCATTCTCATCAGCCGTCATTCGATGCTGGCGATTATGATTTTGCAGCATTACAAGTGCATTGCCACGTTCCATCTGTTTGGCAGCATGAAGCAGCAACACGGCGTCTATTCTCTGCGTCGCTAGGATGACTACTCTCGACGATTGTCGTCGTGGTCATTCATGTGCAGTCAAGGTGAAGGTGAAGTCTGAATGTGCGCGTGTGTGTTCTGTGGAATGTGTGCGTCTGTAATTTACCACCAGCAAAAGGTGTGGCATCAGC